GGAAGAGATCTAAGAGATCTATTGTTCTGGTGGTTCCAGAGAAGAGAACGAGAGGGAGAGGAAGAGATCTGGGAGATCTACAGATTCGGCAGTTCCGGTGGTTCCAAAGAAGAGAACGAGAGGGAGAGGGAGAGATTTGAAAAATCTACATTTCTGGTGGTTCTAGAGGTTTCAGAGAAGAGAACGAAAGGGAGAGGGAGAGATCTACAGTTCTGGCTGTTTTGGTAGTTCCGAAGAAGAGAATGGGCGGGAGAGGGAGAGATACACTTTTTGAAAATTTAAAGAAAAGTGGACGAGGGTAATATAGTCTTTTTCATGTTTCCGTTGACACACGTTACTGACAAAAAAGGATTAGTCAATTGCCAGAAACAGTAAGGATAGTGTAAGTCGATTTTCAAACAGTATGGGTACACTTAGTCAATTAGCTTAAACCATAAGGGTAGTTTAAGAAATTTACCCTTTTAAAAATTTGCCTCTTTTTTTTTATCAATAACACCAGCTTCATTAAATTAAAAGAAAAGAGGGAATATGGATACAAAAGGGGAKATAAAATATCTTAGCTCCCCAAAAACAGAAAACAAAGGGAGTGCAAAGAGAAAAGATTAAAAACTAGCCCAAAAAACAGACTCCCTATTCACTCCTTGCTTGGCCAACCCATCCACAAATGAGTTGGCACTCCTCTTCACCCAGCTGTACTAAATCTCAATGTCCCTACCCAGCCATAAGAATTGTTTTTTTTTTCATTGTTAAAGTTCCACAAACCACTGTCCCCTGTCTTCAACCAACTAACCACCACCTTCCAGGATCAAACGGCTGATATTTAATTCCTTTGCTCTTCGAATTCCTTCAAGCGCTGCAAGGATCTCAGCCCTAAGAGAGTCACTTACTCCAATAGGGCCAGAGAATAAAGCAATAACAATCCCTTCCTCATTCCTAAAGACTCCTCCAATCCCAGAGGGCCCTGGATTCCTTGCACTGCTGCCATCAAAATTCAGCTTTATAAAGCCCGAGGGGGGAGGGGACCAAAATGGACAAAGAGACCTCTTGCATCTAGAAATGGAAGCAATCTCTTTCCAGTTTCTTAGCAAGTCATCCACAGGAAAATCTGAAAACAACTCCAAAGATTTTAGCCAATGGACAGCCCTTAAAAGGATTTCGATCTAACAATTCTTCCAATGTTCTTTCCTTGTCGGAAAAAATGTGTGAGTTTCTTTCTTCCCACAATGACCAGCATACTGCTGCCCTAATACACCTCCACATAGTCTTCCCTCGCTTCCTAGGCCAACTGAAAAAAGGAGAAAACAAACCTTGGACAATCTCCAGAGGATACCAAGAACACCCAAAATGGGAGAAAATCCACTCCCAAACAGTTTTCGCAGCCTTACAAGAGACCATGAGGTGGTAGCCAGATTCCCCATCAGCTTTACAAAGAGCACATTTTTATCTCTCTGTCTCCTGTCTGTGGATTCTAAATCATATATAATCTCTCCTAGGATTCCCAGCACCAAAAGTATTGTTGAAAAGATAGGAAAAAAATTCACAAACACATCATTGGAAATGGAGATTGCACTCTTACATCTTCTGACAATCTAATAGATAACGAACTTGGCAGGCATGGCAATCTTACTAAAATTCTTAGGACAGGGACATAACATTATTTATGTATCTTTTGGGACTTGGTTCAATTGGGTTGGGATCACATTGACCCCAATCCAACTAAACCCAACCAGCCACTATCCTACACTCTTAAGTCCTGTTTGGAAGGGATGAAGCTTTGGTTGAGTTACTTTCACTGAGCTGCTTTAGAGAAGCCACCAAAAGAAGCTTCAATCAAAAACCTTTCTTTTGGATGGACAGCAAATTTGGGTTTTCTGGATTTTTATTAAAAGCCACCAGCAGAAAACCCTCCCAAACAAGCACTTGGTGGTCCATATGAATATACAAGGTAACCTTTTTTTTCCTGATGGAGGCAAGCCTGCAAGGGGACTTTTTATTATTCTTTTTATTTTTGATGGAAAACATATCTTCTATTGAGATAATAGGAGTTTTGTATACATACAATATGTATTTAACCCATATGTAGGCTGAAAACTTGCTACCTAACCCATTTATTTATTTGCAACTGAGCCCAGAATACTTCATTCCTATTTACCCTATCCTTTCCTTGGACAAGGAGTCTGCCGCACAGTTTCTGATCTTGGCACCCAAATAAAAGATGACTCCAGCTCCCTTACTATCTGTCATAGTTGTCAAGGTAACACCTAGGTGATAAGGCACTCTTGGAGGGTTGCCTCGCCCAAAGGCCCCAAAGGCCCCAAACGCCTAAATATTTATATGCTAGACACCACATAATGTTTTCATATTTTAATTTTATGTTATTAATAGTAGTACAATAGATATTTTTAGACTAAATTACTCATTGTGAGTTTATAGTACTAATATTATTATTCTTATACCAGTTTCTTTATTTTTTTTGGTATTCTTTATATTATTTTCTTATTTGGGTTCAATCAACATTCAGTGGCATAGGGGTCCTTTGATAACAACTGAAGTTGCTGAACTGAAACACTTATTGCTTTGTCTTTTAGTTATAAATAGTAAAACTTTCAAAGATATAGTGATCAATCCAATTTCAGTTCCATCCATTAAGGAACCCACAACCTCCTTAAAAACTTGTTCACTAAAAGACAAAGCAATAAGCTTCTCAGTTCAGCATCTTCAGCTGTTGTCAGATGGCCCCATTGTCTTGAACCCTTTTAAGACTTAAAACCTGAATTGACAAGTAAGAAGTAACTTGAAGATTTTATCCAATTGACACAAGAATAATCAATAGAACTTCATCATCATCTTCTTCCTAGGACCAAAACAAGAGCTCAGCCCTTATGTTTTGTATGTTTTATTTCCTTCTTATTTTTCTTCTCATAAATATGTTGATTTTCTATCTTGTGATAGGGGGTTTACACATATTTCATGAGGATTGTGGTAATTATTAGTTTAAGATTACTGATTATTACTATGAAAACTAGGGAACTACCCTAGGATTTTTACTTTTTTATTTTAAAAAACTCATCGCCTAGGTGACCAGGTGACAAGGTATTGCTCTGCACACTTTAAGGCCTTGTAACACTGCAAATAATTCAACCCTTGTGGAGTCTCCTTGACCACTCAGCCGTAAGGGCTAAGAGGGGAATTTTTCCACGTTTCAATCTCCTCGTCATCTATTAGATGTGACTGCACAAAGAAAATCTACTTCACTCAACAAGGTGCCATCCCATAAGGTGCTTGATCCATAATCCCAAAGATCAAGTTTCACTCTCTAGTGCATATTTGTCTGACCTTTCATCCATTCAGTGACGATTAGGGCTGTAATCAGGTCAGATTCAGATCAGATCCAGCCACATATGGATCCAATCCAAAATTTGATCAGATCTAGGGGCCTCAATTGGATTTGGATTTCAGATCAGATTCTGATTTAATCTTAGTGTGCCCCATTCATATGGAACAAGATTCTAAAGATTTTTTAAGAAAAGATTTTAAAAAAATTATAATGATTCTAATTAAATATCCGAAAGTTTTTAATAATATTTTAAAGTTTAAAACCTTAAATGTATAGTCTATCATTGAAATTTCTGAAATATCGCCAATGTATTGGCAAAATGTCAAAGATTTTAGGAAAATAAGTCTTGAAAAATTTTGTATCACTACCTAGTAAAATGGGGAAATTTCAGTTAAAATCTGTCAAATCTCTCATATATCGCAAACTGTGGTATATGAATATAAATTTAATTGGATTCAAATACACTTGACGATGCAAGTTCCAAAATCTGAATCCAATCCGCAATAACTGGATGGGATGTCAGACTTTTTGACTCTATTGACAGCCATAATGACAATTGACAACATGAACTCCTTCACACCCCAAAGAATATCATAGTCCCCAGACTTGGCAGAGGGCCAATATTTCACCTTTTAACAAATCTACCTCTAGCTATAGGACCAAAGTAAGTAGCCAATCTCACTCACTGCTAGGCCATCAAGGTACAACATCTCACCTTTCTTTGTTCAATCCATCTTCTTCTTACTTGTCCCATCTATCTACCTCTGTGGCACTAGTATGTACCACAACTAGGGTTAGTAAACTCAAACCACTAGAATATTCCCTTTATAACTTGGCTACAGCCTAAAGCAAACCTATGATAGGGTGTTACTGTTTTATATGCAGTGGAAAAAACATGTCCTAGTCAATTGTACCTAAGTGAATAATATATAGCAACACAACAGGGGAAAGATTCATAAATTTGAGAAAAAAATGTATCACTAGATTGATATAACTGTACTACTTACTTCTGCTCCTAATTCCATTGCAGCCTCAGTGATCTCAGTACGTACAGGCTGCTGGTTTCCAGATAGTGTTACCTAGATAAGATTTCAGTGAGAAATAAAAGCAAATTAGGTTGAAATCATAAGACAATTTGACATGAAAGTAAAATTATACAATTAGATCCAACTCGGTCTTGCAGAGAGCAGTTTCTGTTGCCACATGTACTTCTACTCAGAGTCAGAATGCATAAGATACATCCTTCATTTTTAACCCAAGGCTGAAGGGTGACCAACTTAAGTTTTTATTAACATGCTCCATTATAATGCTTTAATCTTACATCAGTAAAACTTTATTCAAAGTATGCAGATTGCACCATTCTACACAAGCAGCAAGGTATTACCTTTTAGTAATACAAAAGGTAAATTTGTATTAATAAAAAAAAAAACAAAAAGAGTATACTACTCTTTCTAATGTTGGGAAAGAAAAAGGCATCGACTTGCAGTGCTCTGACTTTAGTTTAGTAGAACTTTGACGAATGGATAGGAGTAGGACTATCTGAATGAATGGCATCCACATATTGACATATGGAGGTTCTGAAGAATAAATTCTTCAGAATAATTTGATATTCTTATACAGTCCTAGGAAAGCACCATGGTTTTGTGTTTTACATCTTTTCCTACTTGAAGGACATGGATATGGATTTTGGAGTCATGTTTGCTGGTTAGTATTAAAATGAATTAAATATTCAACGAACATAGATATTTTAAAGCTAAGCAGCAAATGGAAACTAATATAGAAATATCTAATGCATGATTTAAAGAAACACAAAAAATAAATATATAGTAATTCATTAATTTGCTAATACACATAGTAAGACAACAATTAATGAAACATGAAAGAAAGAGGAAGAAAATAGTATTAAAGAGAAAAACATATTGCATGGAATGTAGCATATCATGTTGTAGAGAACATTGATGTGGGCCCCACAGCTGTGGTGGATAACCCCATGATGAAGAAGATAAGATGTCAATGATTTAGCAAAGTATTCCTTTGCGTTATCAGATC